CAGAAGTGTGAGATAAAAAGTCGCAATTACTTTTTTTTATTTTTTATTCAGTGGCGGAAACGGGCTTCCATACCATCGATTAGTAAATTTAGATTTTAATTTATTAATCTAGAAAATATACTAGCGTTTATGCAAAGTGACTTAAACATGAAGATAATACAAAGAGAAAAAATACCCAAAAGAGAAAAACAAGTCATTTCAATCCATTCAATTTTTTACAAAATTATTTATATATAATTTATAATAACTATAAATTATAAAATTACAATTATAAATTAAAATGATAAATTATTGATATACGTATTTACTTATGCATCTTATTCTATTGTATTTATTTTATTGTTTTATTTCATAAAAAGTAACAAATTATGCCAAAAAAAAAAAAAAAACCTCAATGCCACAATGGATCAATGAAAATCATATATTCCAGAGAACCATGTAATACGTTATTATACACGTAACAAACCTGCAAATGTTTGATTAAGTGTGTTGCTTTCCCTGAAAATGAATGCACTTGGGTTTTGTTTTCTACTGCAATGACATTCAGAAGTGTCTCTTAAGTGTCTAAATACTCTCCCCTCTTTTAAACAGAGAGCTGCAGCTTTTCATCTGGGAGGATGCTGCACATATCGTTCCCATTCCGTTTTTCCCAGCGCGGTTGTTATTGTCTGAGCGGTGGGATCTGGAAAACCACATCACTCACAGTCTGAGTCAGCAAACACAATGCAGGGGTTCTTCCCTCCCAGCTCAAGAGTCACTCTTTTCAGGTTGCTCTTGGCCGCCGCCGCTTTGATCAGCTGGCCCACCTGAACACAAACACAGCGCAGGACAATAACCAGAGCGCTCACTAATGATGCCTCCACAAGCCGCTCTTATGAATATCAGCTGGTGTATTATGTAGATAATGACAGGAAACGTGCCCAAAACAGCACAGCGCTTTGAAACATTACAGTTCAGAGCACCCAGATTCAGCTCACATGAAAAATGCGGATCTTAACCCACAGAACTGATATCTGAACGAAATGGTTTAACAGTATTTGAAGTGTGACACAAATTTGCAGGGGAAATAAATCTCAACGTAACATCTCAGATGTATCTGTTGATCTTCTCATATGGAAATAAATAAATCATTAAATACATTTTCATATATATTTTGGCCATATATAAAAATGATATAAACTGAAAAAAACGATTTATACACAGTAGTTATACACCGACTTAAACATCAAACTCATATATGTATGTATATATTTGCAAAAATAATCAAGGAAAAAAGTCAATTATACTGTATGTGGGTCAAAGACGTTAAGTAAATAAATTTACAAAAGCGATTATATGTCCATAAAGCACATTAAATGTAAGTAAAGTGTCTACTTTTAAGGTTTCAAATAAGTTTTTGGAGAAAATGTCATTCAGTGTAACAATATTTGTCAAAATTCAAACAACACGCTTATTCTGACTTGTGCATATTAAAATATATAAAAGAATAAGGGCGCATATTAAATTTGATTGTGTTTTAAATGAGTAAAATATTCTTACTGACAAATGGGCAAAACCTAGGATAGTGGCAAATTTTAGAAATGTAAAATTACAAATATTTAGTATTTGGGGTGAAAGTAATTAGTCTTTTAATATGTCATAAATTGATTTTTGTTGTAAATATGCCTGACAAGATTGTTACACTGAATGACATTTTAGCAGGTCTCTTCTGTAAATCAGGGAAAAATGTATGATATTTATTTTTTGCTCGGAAAAACAAAAACAAAGTTGCAATTAAATTAAACAGAAAACTTTTTACATTTTTGGGGGAAAAACAACAACAATTTAAAGCAGTATTACACTTAATGTTTTTATGCTGAAACCCTTTTTCGTCTTTGACCCATATATTATAATTTACAAATTGATTTACAATATATTTGCATCACATTTTAATAACTCATATTTTCTCAAATTTTCCCCCTTTTTTAGATATATTTTCAATCTAAATATACTTATATTATCCAGAATATATTTTTAAAAATACATTGGCAGACCGTAAATGTATTTTAATGCCATTCAAAGTACATTTTGGCATGCCAAGGTCTAAATAGAATATATTTTTTAATTTTAAAAATATATTTCTCTAAGCTGCACTGCCTACCATATTTATTTAAAATGTAGATTTTTTTGGCAGAAAAAACAAACAAAATCTTACAGTATGTCAACAATTGCATTTGTGTCATTCACACTCGTTTGTGTGTCTTCATCTTTGTATTTCTCTTACGGCTTTGTGCAATGAGCTTTTTCTCATAACTTCCTCACCTCTGTGGAGCCTGTAAAGGCCACTTTGTCGATGTTCATATGACTGCCGATTGCCGCTCCAGCCGTTGGTCCAAACCCAGGCACGATATTCACGACTCCGGGTGGAAAACCGGCCTGTATATGACATGATGGAAAGAACAGGCTTTATTTGTATTACTTATAAAAACATACTAGCCTAATACTGTTTGATACAGCTTAATTCTTTCCTTTAAAGGAAGAGGATAAAATGGGAAATGAATAGGTCAAAAAATTGCCCACGGGGACAGAGACAGCAAGACTGCTGATGTACACAAAGAGACGCTTTTCTTTTGAGGATTGAAACCACATTGATCTCATTCATAATGATAAAGACATAAATCATCTCTTTTTTAGATACAGACGGCTTGAATAGAAAGCAAGTGGCGGTTGACTGAAGGCTTGCAGCTGCAGTTTAGTCCATGTCCTTACAGCAATTCATGTGTCCTGCTCTCTTTGAAGAATTAAACATGATAATTTGAGCGTTTTGTATAAACAGAGACAGAGCAACAAATCATTACCCACAATGCAGCTGAGTCATTTTGTAATACAGCCAGGTTCCCAACCGGGTTTATACCCCTCTAAGACTGCAATCAATGTTCAAACGTTTGAATTAGTGCTTTCAAATGATTAATCGCATCCAAAATACAAGTTTTTGTTTACATAATATATATGTGTGTGTACTGTGTATATTTATTATGCTTATTTAAATACATACACATACAGTATATATTTTTATATTCATATAATTTATATTATATATAAATATATTTAATATATAAACATAACATATTTTTCTTAAATATATACATGCATGTGTGTGTATTTATATATACATAATAGATATACATAGTACACACACATATATTATGTAAACAAAAACTTTTATTATGGATGCAATTAATCGTTTGACAGCACTCGTTTGAATAAATATATTTAATTCATTTAATTACTCATTTTTGAATATAAGATCAGGTATCGTAATGTTGTATTTTGTAATATTTTGAGTAGTTTTTCTATTTTAATGCATTTTATTTATTTTTTAAAAGGTATTTTAAAGATTTTTTTACACTGTAACCTTAAAAAAAATTAATAGTACCTTTAGATTTGATAAATTTATGAATCTAGCAGATAGCCTGGCTTATAGCCAAAGTGACTTTTGTCCAAAGAGAGACAACAATATTGTTATTGTTATGTATGTTTTTTTAAATACATATTTTATTTTATTTTGTTATATATTGTATTTTATAAAAGTTAAAAATTATATAAAAGTTTGTTCTTTTAGTTTTTATTCATTTCTTTTTTATTTAATTTGACAAAAAAGTAACAAATTATACAAATGATTTGCTTTTTTATTTATTTTTTATTTTTTGCTTTATTCTATTTCATAAAAAGTAACAAATTATACAAAAAGATTTGCTTTATTTCATTTTTTCATTTATTTGATTTTTTATTAATTATTTATTTATTTATTTTTTATAAAAAAGTACAAAAATTTATAAAAGATTTGCTTTGTTATTTATTTATTTAGTTATTTATTCCTTGCTTGCTTGATTTTATTTAATAAAAAATAACTAATTATAAAAAAATATTTGCTTAGTGTAACAATGGACCAATCAGAATCAAGCATTCCAGAGACCAATTCTATAATTTATTATATCCACTGGGGTGCAAAAAGCCTCTGCCAAACTTTAATTTGGCATCATAATCTCACGATCCCCATACAGATCAATCATGAAGCCCCGGCTGGGAAACCCTGGCTTACAATGTTTGTACAATGCGCACAATCAAACCACAAAATCTGGGAGCAAGAAAGGTAGCGCTGATGCAATCAATCATCAATGTCCATATTAATAAAATCAACTCAACAAACGAGAACGCCAAACCAAAGCAATGAGGCCCCGCTGCCCCCTCACCTCCTTTATGAGCGCTCCGGCGTGAAGAGCCGTCAGCGGGGTCTGCTCAGCCGGTTTAATGACCACCGTGTTCCCGCAGGCCAAAGCCGGCGCGATCTTCCACATAAACATCAGCAGAGGGAAGTTCCACTACAAATACAGAAGACAATTAAACGGATTATGCAATAAATAGCTGACAACGGGTTGTTGGATTACTAGAAAATAATGCACCCCCGAGGTGGTAAATCGTGCCGTGTGCGTTATTTTCTAACAATTCAGCGGACCAGACACAATCACGGTTACCACACCTCACCACATTGTTCAGATGTTGTATTTCAAGATATTCATCAGGTTTTTGTCCTTGTGTGTAGAATTAATTTCTTATGCATCCATTGTTAATTCCAAAACATAATTTTAAAACTAGCAATGGAGGATTGAGCCATTGATAGCAGACTAATGCAGTTAATAATGAAGTTATTAGACAGACGGAAAGAGAGAGAGAGAGAGAGAGAGATTAAGTGTGGGAGAAAAATAATATGTGCGTTCTGTACATAATAAAACGTAATTTTAAGGCAAAAACATGGAAATAATTTGTCAATTTTTCATCCTATTGTTTACTTTATTTACTTGCTTTGTGTCGTTGTAGGGTTTAGTTCATCAACCAATCAGAATCAAGCATTCAACAGCTGCCAACCCCACCCCTATTGCAGACCTCAAATAGCTCCGCCCCTTTTCAGTGCCGCGCCAGTTGTCTTTTGTCTTCCGTTTGGATTTCCACAGCGTGAAGGTAAGCTCGTACAAATTTATGAATGAACCGCTCATTTTA